CTCCCTTCATACCCGCGGCACAGTTTGTTACTGACCATGTCAAACTTCCATAGACTTTGAAGCATTTGTCACACCTCCCCTGTTAGTGTGTGTGTGTGGGGGGGGGATCTGTGTGTAGGTCTGTGTGGGTGTGTGTGCCCTTGCCTGTTTCAGGATGGATTTGGCTGCTATCTAAAGCGAACCTGCATTTATGTATACATAATATGCTTTTGTGCGGGCGTTTGGAGGGTGCTGCTGGTAGGTCGCACTTCTTTACTTTCCGTCTGTTGTTTCTGTTTGTCTGTCTTACTTTTTTCCAGCGCCACTAAATGACAATTGATGAGTCGTCAATGTGCTTATCTTTTCTCAGCAGCAACAAATGTGCATTTGTGTGTGTTCATTTATATGTATTATATGTTTGTGTGTGTGTGTTAACATAGACCTGTGTGTATATAATATGTATGTGTGATATGTGTGTTGACATGAACCTATATGTATATAATATGTATGTGTGATATGTGTGTTGACATGAACCTATGTGTATATAATATGTATGTGTGATATGTGTGTGTTTCAGTGAGGGACATGGCTGCGTACTGCACCTCCAAGAACACAGTGGATCTGGCCATTGACCCTCTGATCCTGTGCAAGCTGTGTCTGTCTGAATGTCCCCTGGACGCCATGTACGAGCTGGTGGACTGCAAGTGTCTCTTTTGTGAAGTGGTAAGATCTTACGCTTACTTCTTAGACTTAGGCTTCAAGGCTTCTCCCATACCTTAAGACTAATGAGGCAGTATTCAGAGATAATAATACTAATAATAATAATAATAATAATGAAGATCATTTCTATAGCGCCCACTCCCGTGAAAACACAGCTCTAGGCGCTTTACACAAATGCATGTACAAACAATATTCACGCATACGACATACACACGCACACACACACTCTTACACATACACACACACACACACACACACACACACACACTCACACACACACACACACACTCATGCACACTTGTGCACACACATGCACGCCAAACACACACACACGCACACGCAGAGGATCAGGAAATTTTCCTGCAGCTAGATCTTACACTGTACATAATTAATTTGACCACATTTTGTTTCTTATTTCTGTAAATAAAATCACTTTTCCCCCCCACGTATTTAGACTGAGACGACTCTCACATCTGGAGACGTGTGAGGAAATAGTCAAAGATGACTAGGAAAATCTGCCTGCAGCTAGATCTGACACTGTATATATATATATATATATATATATATATATATATATATATATATATAGATATATAGATATATAGATATATAGATATATAGATAATAAATTCGGCCCCAATTTGTTTCACTTCTCTGAAATTGAAATACCTTTGTGTTTCCTCTCTTTGGTTTCAAAAGAAAAAGACCCCTCTGATCTTTATGGCCTATTGTTGTCTAGCATAGCTTTAGGTTTCTGATGTGCAGCAATAGTTGTATGTAATGTTTAGTGAGTCACTATTATTGAAAATTGTGTTCAATTCCATATATATGTGCTGTTGACAGTGCATGCGCCAGTACCTGGCTGTGCTCATCACTGAGGGAATGGTGGCAGAAATCACATGCCCAGACGCCCAGTGCAAGAAGCAAGGAAAGCTGTCGGTGAAAGAGGTTAGTAAAGGCCACCTATGTGATGCGTCCAGTATTTATTTGTCTATTTTTAATATTTTAAAAATTACATTTTCTTTTCTGTTCTTTCTTTTTTTTGGGTTGTAAAACGACCGTGTCAGTATTTTTGAAAGGAAAGAAAAAGAAAATGGAATATTATTCTTACTATTTCTGATGTCTAATGTTCAAAGTCTGGCGTTTGTTACAAAAGAAATAACAAATCTCAGCATATGGTGACTGGTTGCAACACCACTGGTTTAGCAACACAGTCTCAGCCCGAATGAAAATTGCATGTGCCTTCATTCCCCATCCATCATTGCCTCCAGATCCCATGTTACTCCCTCTTCTTTTGAGATACCCCCAAACCCCTCTTTGTAATATATGACGAGATACCCCCAGACCCCTCTTTGTAATATATGATGAGATACCCCCAGACCCCTCTTTGTAATATATGATGAGATACCCCCAAACCCCTCTTTGTAATATATGACGAGATACCCCCAGACCCCTCTTTGTAATATATGATGAGATACCCCCAAACCCCTCTTTGTAATATATGAGGAGATAGCCCCAAACCCCTCTTTTGTAATATATGAGGAGATACTCCCAAACCCCTTTTTATATTAAGTGGTCATGTCCATCAGGGTTGAAGCATCTATGTAATCAAATAATAACTGCTTCCCTTCTATTTTGGGAACATAGGCGCAGTCAATTTCACCCTTAGACTGCAATAAAATCAATCATGATCTGTGTGCAAAACTTGATTTCTGTCTTCTTTCTTTTTTCAGATTGAAAAACTGGTAGATAAACAGGCATTTCTCAGATACAAGCGCCTACATTTTCAAAGAGGTAAGACAGCTGTCATGAACCTTAAAATTTCGATTGATGTTTTATTGTGTTTTTGTGTTTCTGCCACTGTACATGTCATAGGGTCTGCTCCTTCCATTTTCTGTCAATGAAACTTTGGCTACTCTGTTCCTGTCTTTGAGTGGCTGCTCTATGCATACTCAGATAGACTTTCCCTCAAACACATCTTTTGTTTGTCTTCTTCATGGTGATACTGGACTGAGTTGTGCAAAAACATACTGTCCAATCTCCCGGCACAACCAAATCAACTCAGCCAATCTCCCTCTTTCTCTGTCTGTCTCTTTCTCTTAATGTCTGTGTGTGTGTGTGTGTGTGTGTGTGTGTGTGTGTCTGTCTTTTTCTCTCTTTACCTCTTTCTTTCTCCTTCCCTCCCTCCTTCTGCCTCAGTCTTTTTCTCTCTATCCATCTCTCCCTCCCCCTCTCTCCCTCCCTCCGCCTCTGTCTCTCTCTCTCCTCTCTCTGTCTCTTTCTCTGTCTGTCTGTCTGTCTGTCTGTCTGTCTGTCTGTCTGTCTGTCTGTCTCTCTCTCTCTCTCTCTCTCTCTCTCTCTCTCTCTCTCTCTCTCTCTCTGTCTCTCTCTCTCTGTCTCTCTCCCTCCAGCCTTCCCTGTCAGAATGAAACATCCAAACGTTCTCTCTCAAGCTGTTCTCTCTGCTGTCTCTCTCACCAGAGGTGGACTTGGACCCAAATCGGACATTTTGTCCAGAGATTGGCTGTGAGACGGTGTGTCACGTCTGCTCCTCACAGGCCCACGCTGCGGGGGCGGGGGCAGCTACGGTGGACTCCGTGCCTGTGCAATGTCCCACGGTGGGTGTCTAGCAGTTTTTCAGTTATCTCGTGTAGTGTGTGTTGTTTTATTGAATGTGTTTATTGAGTTTATTTGTGTAATGAAGTACTTGCCAACTTGGGCAATGCCACCCACCAGTGGATGATTTAGTTGTTTAACCCTTAGAACCCTGAGCTGGGTTTTTTTTCCATACCTCCCTAGAATCCTGATTTAAAATAGATATAATATTTTGAAAATCACATCGTTTCATTGTTTCATTTACTGTGTCTGTAATTGTTGTAAGATTTTACTGAAATTTGAATATGTTATGTATATATGAAGTATTCTAAGAATTAAGTGGCAGGATAGAATAAGAAATGAAGAGCTGTGGGAAAGGACGGTACAAAAGGATATAGAAGTAGAAATAGGACTTACAAAGTGGCGATGGATGGGACACACCTTAAGAAAGCCCAGCGGAAACATCACGAGACAGTCACTGCAGTGGAACCCTCAAGGAGCATGAGGCAGGGGTAGGCCACGGGAAACATGGAGGAGATGCGTGGAAAGGGACATGAGAGAAATGAAGCTCACTTGGAACGAGCTTGGAAGGATGGCTCAGGACAGAGATAAATGGAAGGAGCTTGTATGTGGCCTAGGCATTGATGATGATGATGTATATGAATGCACAGTCTGGACAAAAGGGGGTAAAAGTTAAAACACTGTTTTTTATAGGACCGAGTAAAGTCTTGTGTGTGATCCCTGACTCCGCTGCAGCCAAAGCATCATTAGACCCAGCCGTAGATCTAGCCTCCGGCAGCTCAAGTGGTGGTGATCCCTTGCCACTTCCACTATCGTCAAACTTACACTTTTAGTTGAGACTGTGTGGGTATTTTGTGTTTTTAAAAAACTTGTAGCACAATTATCGTTACTTTTGTCTCAATACTTGCAGTGTGGTCTTCAGTTTTGCTCTGTGTGCAAAACGAAATGGCATGCGCCGAAATCCTGTGATGAAGTCGTTACGACTGGAGCGTTAGAAGAAGTGGGGTGAGTATCGCCATGATGTACAAACTTTCAAGTGCGTTACAGGAACATGGTATGGATTTACATCTTAAGGGATTTTGTTTCAAAGGTACATATGTACTACATAGGTATTCCAAACTGTGCTATAGACAGAGACACAGAATTGATTTTTAGTCTTCAAAGTCTTTTATTTCCTTCAAAGTTACTGACTTGATTGAATGAAAGATAGTTGATATTGTCAATGTGAATGCTAAATGTTTCTTTTGATGAAGTATGATGTGGTTTGCTATACAAAACAAAGCAACTTCAAAATTGGACGCTTTAGAGTAATAGTAGGTTATCCTGCGCATTTTGTCAATGTTCTAATTTTGGTATCAGAATCATTGTTGGGCCCGTCCCTGGACCCGGATAAGCTCCGTTTCACTTTTAGAAATTATAATTACTGACTATCTATAACATTTAAGGTTGAAGAAAAAAACTTCACTATGAAATATGAGAGTAATTTCTCTGTGTTGCCTCTCTTGAAGAAGTACATCTGTTACATTTGATGATAGATATATTTCAAGATGAAAAGGGTAAATAATGAGTGTTTTTGAAAAAAATGAATTTACCAAATGTATGAATTATTGCAGTTGTATAGGTTTTAAATGTGTTGTTTCAGGATCCCATTCAACAACACGGAGGATGCCAAAATCAAGCGCTGTCCTGTCTGCCACGTCCCTATAGAACGTAACGACGGCTGTGCTCAGATGATGTGCAAACGATGCAAACACGTGTTTTGTTGGTACTGTCTACAGTCGCTTGACGTAAGGCTCTCTTTCTTTTTTGTTCTTTTCTTTTCATCTTTTGATAGTGTTACTTCTTTACCGTGATATTCTATGAAACTATAATTGTTTTTGTCTTGAAGAACGTGTTTTGTTGGTACTGTCTACAGCACTTGTACCCCCCGGGGCAGTGCTACTGACTGAAGTGTCTTTAGGCCTTTCCCAAAGGTTGGACATTATCCTGTTCTTATGCACAGTAGAATTGTAAATGGGCGGATTCACCAATATCATGTTCATAACTCTGCCTGAACTGCAACAGGGAATTGCTGCTTTTTCTTTCCTAATCCTTACTATCAACATTTTTCCTCTACTTCTTTTGTATGTTTTTCACACTCTTGTGACCTGCTATTTCTGGGGTGCCGTAATAGTCGAAGCAGACTTTGTGCTGCTGAAGCTAGAGAGGTGAGCAGAGTAAGCCTGATTCCCTGTAAGGACTTCTCTGTTGACATCCACCCCTTGGCGCTCGTATGACCTTATGCAGCTGCGAGCGCCATAAAAACTCTACCAAAAAAAGTCACTTGACGTAAGGCACACTTTCTCATTTGTATTCTTTTGTACTTTTGTCAGTGCTACTTCTTTACCATAATATTATGGGAAATCTGAATTGTTTTGTTTTGAAGGATGTTGGTTGTCGGAGGGAGAGTGGGTGGGTAGCAGGTGCTCTGGTGTGGTTTGCTTCTTCTTTCCTATCAAACATCTGTCGTCTTTATCTCCCCTCCTTCTTTTTTTTGTGTTTGTTACTCTCTTGTAACACCTCTAAGCTTCCGCACTTATGTGCCCTTATTGTGTTGCGAGTGCCGTAAATTAGTTACTAAAACTAACAAAAGAAGAAATAAAAAAGTCGGAGGGAGGTATGAAACACAGAATAATTGCGGGAGGGGGGGGGAGAGGAGGAGGAGGAGGAGCTGTTGGCAGGTAGTAGATCATACTTCTTTCCCCTCTCACTGTTCTCTCCATCTGTTTGTCTTACTTAATCTCTGCTCTACGTGACTGTTGTTGGGTTGATATAATTGTCGTCTTCTCTCAGACAGAACATAATTCGTGATATCTCTTTGACTGTAATGCACATTGAGCATTTTTTAGAAATGGTAAATTTGTAGCATAAATGCTGTTTATTACTAATATCAATTATTATCTTTATGATCCTTTTTGACTGTAATGACAACATTCAAATGATTGTTTTGTAATGAATGACATTGGTGCCATGGGCCAGTATGAAGGCAGTTCTATTTTTCTATTTTTCTTTTTTTCCCCCTTATCGTAAGAAGAAAAAAATGTTTGACCTTTGCTATTGTTTTGCTCCAGTTATATTGAAGTGCCCGTGTCTTGCCTGAGGTCTAGCAGCTGGAGTTTTTTCTTAATGAATGGGTCATGGCTGTTGTTGGAAACATATTTGACTTGAAAGTTTTTGGAAGAAACAGAAAGGCTGATAGTCAGATAATGTCTGGTAGGCAGCTTTAAAAATTGTAAAGCTTTTATACATTTTCAATTATTTCTTTCAGGATGATTTTCTGCTTCGACATTATGACAAAGGCCCTTGTAAAAACAAGTTGGGACACTCCAGAGCCTCAGTGATATGGCACCGGACACAAGTGAGTACTGGCTTAGCTTTTAGAATGTAGACAATAGATTATTTTGCATCAGCCTGCAGTCTGAGAGATTGTGTGAAAGTTTATTTTGTTTGAGTGTAATAAAAGCCTTGTAAACTTGGTTAGTTCTTATAGAACTTACTGTGTTAAAGGCATGCATACACACAAGCGCTCTCTCTCTGTCTCTCTGTCTCTCTCTCTGTCTCTGTCTCTGTCTCTCTCTCTCTCTCTCTCTCTGTCA